CATACCATGCCGATGGTAATATCGTTAATATGCATAATATACAGATATATTATAAATATTTTATAATATAGTGTAGTACAGACGGTACACGCGCGGGATAACTAAATTATGTGCGAACGTTGAACGGCTGGTCGAGAGCGATGGCTGTACAGGGTGCATAATAAAATGTCCAATTATTATTAAAATCGAATTAGTTGCTAGAATGAAAAAGTTTTTTGTTCTGTCAGCGTGTTGTACTTATATTAAACYGGTCATTTGAGTTTTTATAGATTTTTTCAGCCCGGCACTCTCACATACACATCTTATACTCACGCTTAGGCGGAGAATGGAAGGAGATCGTTGACTTGATATTTTAATAATAGTTTTGAGCTTGGAAAATATTACAATTTAAAAATGCTCATAAATTGTGTACAAATAAATATACTATCGTAAAAAAACAAGGTAGAGACACAAGTTATGTTCTTAACTTAAAGATTAATTATGGGTGAATTCACTATAAGATTAAAGGTTACTCAGGGTTGGTTCTGCTTATTATACATATTCTATATATTGCGTGGGTCAGAGAGAAACAAATGGTGCACGGACATCCTTTTAAGCACGAGGAAAATACGCGATTGTTGAAGTAAGACCCACAATAAGTGATACTATATCATCGCGATCTGTCATTTAACAGTTGTTCCTTCTGAAAGTTCATAACAAAAATAGTGAAAAATTTAATAGATTTTCTCCAAGTCACTTCTCCTAACCTAACCCAAAGCGCTTTATTATAGGTAAGCCCGAAAGAAGGGCTTAATAATATTTAACAGTAAAAAAATGTTGATTATGAACATAAAACATTTGATACTTTAAGATTTAGACGATATTATAAAATAAAAGCTCACTCTAAAAAAGTGCTAATTGCTGGTTTCTAAACATATTATATTACAACGCAATAAATTATAATTCCATTAACAATTCATGTACAATAACTGTGTACAATCAGTAAATAAAAATCAGCAACAAACATCAACAATCGTAGCTGTAGCACTGATAACTGGTAACGGTCGGAAGCAACGAAAATATGACATGATTTAAACATAATATATTTAGAAATCTAAAATTTGATTTAGATAAAGCTAAAAATACATTTTTAATTGAACGTTTATGCTTATTGTTTTATGAAAATAATAATACAATTAAAAGTAATGTTTTTAAATTTTATATCTGAAATTAAAAAAATTGGCCTTAGGAACTCCGAWATTTTAATTCAGGATGGTCAATAATATGCTTTGTTATAATAATGTTTAAAATACATTCTATAAAAATATATATTTATAATTGTATAGTAATTATACAGGTAATATCGGATATAGTTATTGCTGCAGTGTTCGTGATACCCATCAAACGTCAAAACTCTGTAGTCGTCGACATGACTATATTATTATGATATTATTAAGACACGGCCTAATTTATCCAAAGCGGTAATAATTTCACGGCGTTTAAACGTGCGCGCGTAATACCTTACGACGACCGATCACATATACATGTACACGCATTCTACATTACACGGTACGGTAGACAGTCAAACATTAACCGTTTAATACGAAAATAATGTGTCAAGGAAACGCATTTCCTCTAAAAAAAATCACTAGGTATTTAAATTATTTATACATATCATTATAATAATGTTTACGATTAAATCGGCTAAAAAAAACCTATAACCACGCGCTGTTCACATTATTTCTGCATCGGCATAACCATTGTTTGTACAGGTATCTACCAAATCGTCAAAACTCAAAAACAGATGATTTTCGTACAAATTAAGTTATTGCTAGAACAATATTTTTTATACATTATACAGATAGTATGAAATAAKAACAACATAGTAGTAAAAAACAGAAGTACTAAATACTAATACATAATAATATCATAGATATGCATTGACAGGATTGTGTAAGACTATGCAATAATATTGTACAAGAGTTCATAAAGGAACAGATCGTAATTATTATAAACTATTATCATTATAATAATATAGTTTTCAAATTATTCTAGAAGGATTCTCGCCACAAAGGATAATAMTATGTGAGTTGAATTCCATTCCATGGATTTTCCTCTCTCCCTTCCTCCCATCCTTCTGGATTGTAATATAATATTATATAATGTACGTACAGAATTCGAAATAATTGTACACTAAGCRGGCAAATAGTTGATCGTATAATCAATATTTTATATTATTGAATTCGTCCTTTTTCGTTCGATATAATATTATATAATATGTCCGTGGAACGACTGTCAATTTAAATATTATAATCGTTATAATAACGCTGCGTTATGTTTAAGAGACATAATATTATAATAATAAATAATTATACATATTTTACTCGGCAAATAAAATCATATTATACACGTTTAAATTATATTATGATAATAATAAAAAAAATTGGAACCCCCCACAAAAGTATATAAAATTAATGTTTATGTATTTTTMACTTGTATCGAAAACTGGAAAGTACCCAATCAGATTACCCTTACTGGTTTTTGACTTTCGTATTAACATCGAATCATAACAATATATGACGTCTAGTGTAATTGTCACGTTTTTTTTTCATTTGTTCGTTAACAGTCGTTAATTATCGTTGTTAAATTTATGTAGTTTGTGAAGGATTCAAGTTTCCGACCGCATAAATTATAAATTTTGAGAGTTTTGTATTATTTCAGTGTTCCGATCATTAATAATAATTAAAACTATCATTACATATACCTATGGATAATAATATATAATATGTGAATTCGTTGAAATTTCCGGAAAACCATATACATAGCAATAATATACACACTACACGTATATAGGAAAAAAATCCCGACTACCTCGTTATCGATGAGAAAAAAGGAAGTGGGTTGAAGCAATCGAATAAAAACCGACAAAAATACAACAAAAACAAATTTGTCATGGAAGTTTACCCACAGCAGTCGTGTTCAAGTTTAAACACCTATATGTATACTATTTATATAGAATACTAGCATACTCTTCACAATATTCCATTATATAATTTATAACAATAATGGTCGGCGGCCTTTTGTGATGGGTACATCCGTATSGAAGGGTTCATCAGACTTCCGAGCACTGTCAAGGTCATTGCTCATTCGATGAAAATGTAATTTTTCAACATTTTCGTGTATAAACACGTTTAAATTTTGTGTATGCACCTTGCTTAACTTTAACACCATTAAAAATATATTGTGCTCCGATTTCTGTTGGTCAACAATTTATATGATCGACTAAACGCATATTTCGATTTTTCAACACTTCCACATTGACTTATATACGTACGGATATAACTTATATTGGTAAGCTGCAGCTTTAAGTCACGTGTAAGCTTATACCTAGGTAGGTACGACTACGCATGTACATATTCACAATGCATGTCTCATACCGGGGCAAGCCTAGTCTTAGGCCAGTTCTTTCTTCAACTGGAAAATGACGCGTTTATGCGACACCGTTKACTTTCCCGAAACCCTTCCACGACCACGAGGCAGGCAAGTAGAAGTGGAATAGTCCATATTCGTACCGATATAGTGTTAGTTGGTTATGGAAAATATAGTAAATACTAAAATACTCATCATATAAAATATATTATATCAAAATATACATCAGAGTGGCCTGAATTTTCAAATGTGCAACATTTTCAGGTCAAACCATCTTAAATTCTGTTTTTGTGTTTGTACAATTAAGGAGTTCATAATTATTATTTTTTTTTTTATTAGATGAAAAGACTTCAAAAACACAGATTTTTACCCCACTTTTAATTAACGCTTCGACAAATGGTATTTATATACGTTACATTTAGGTAATTTTATAATAATGTTATTATGCCGTATAATAGTGTGACAACAAAATATTTACCCTGATTTATACCTACTACTTCATACCTATACTCGCATTGGTTTCTAGACTATTCATGTACTTATAGTATTTTTTTCTTTTTCTAAATATCGATTATTTTTTAAAGCATAATTATAAGACATAATATTATAAAACACATTTTATCTCGTAAAGAATTTGGTAATAAGTTTGCTATTTATCAAAAATTATTAGAAAAAAATATTTTAAATTTATTTTRATTTCAATGATATTGAAAATGAGATAAATTCTTTTTTTATATAATATATTGAATGTTTTAGATAAAACATAATGTTCTTGTTGTASTTATGATAAAAAATATATAAAATTATATACGTAAGTATACCTACCTACATAATATTGATAACGATTAATGATATATAATAATATTAATATTATACTAGTAAGCTCGAGAACAAAACGACAATTTAATTTTAGATTGTATGTCGAATGATTTWAGTTAAAATGGTATTTAAATATTAGTTAATATACAATTTTTATGAATAAATATAATACAATTGAATTATATTCAAGCAGTCAAAATTTAGACTTAATAAAAATTATTACCGTCATTAATTATTTATTTACTTTATTAATATCATCATCATATCGTTTGAAATACTCGATACCTAGTTACATAATTATATACAAGTGAATAACAATAGGCGATTCTTTCAAGAGCAGTAAGCATTCATCATATCGAAAAATATTTTTATTTTTTTAGAAGTCATTATAAATTAATTTTATATTTAATATTTTACATAATTTTTTGATACTGATTTATTCTATGTAAAAAATTCCCTAATCGACCTTGCAGGGATATAAAATTCAAAATATATATAAGTTATGATATTATGTCATTCAAAAATGTAAATAGTTTTGAAAACTATAACGATAAAAAATAAAAACATATTTAAAAAAAAAAAATATCGTTTTATAATGACATCAAATTATAAATGGAGTAAAATATTTCCAAAAAAAATTAATATAATATAGTCTTCTTGATAATTAAAATAATTCGTGTTTTACACTTAATATAAAATTACACTATTGGTAYATTTTGCCAAATCTGCAATAATATTTATCCAGATATACTAGCGTATATCTGTGTACTCACTATGATAATTAGCACCATGTTCGTGCGTCCGACGGTTACATGTCGAGCGCGATAAATCCTTTTGTGCAGCGAAGGTATTTGATGGGTGAGCTGCCTGACCGGGCGCGTTGGCTGTGCGGAGCGGACTGGCGGCGGGCGATTTCTCAATAAAATATCTATCTGTCTGCCCGCGACAATCGATCTATCGATTGCCGATCTATATCGAATACTCCGATCTATATACATATAGTTATACGCGATAATCGCGGCGGGGCACTGATGACGCGTTCCGTATCGGATACGCTTGTCAGTATATTATATACATATAATATATACATATAATACATTAATTATATGTAAATTATTGTACATGCCTATATAGATAGGTTTGAAGTAGACAAAAATTAATTGTATCTAATAATAAGTCATCATGATTTATTTAGTATCCAAAAAATAGGATCACTTTCTAGCGTAAAATCTGTAGGGCATAGAATGGTTTTGCTCRACTGCAGGATACCGGCAGATTCCATGTTATTAGGYCTGTCTATAAGTATTACTCTATACCTCCCAATTGCTGAGCCTGGACGTCTGCAGTGGCTTATTTGTGGAGGGAAAATAAGTGCATTAGCCCCGCATCTCCTAAAAAGTTTTTTTTTTACCATAATTCATATTTTTCAACGATATTTTTAACTTACAGTCGAGATCCGTTGAAAGCTACATTACTCTCCAAAAACTTGTATAAGTGGTGATATGATGTATAAGTAGAACACATTAAATGGAGACGAGYGAGTGCACTTTGGATGTATATTATCATATACTGGTTGATTTACCACTTTTCGTATACATTCTCATTTCTCCCCCTYCTACAATTAACAATAATCCTCGATTAACAATAAAAATAATTAAAATTCTGATTTTTAGAATATTTCAAATACTCTTTTAAAAACATAATATATCATATTTTGAAATACTTAAATGTTCATATACCACTTAAGGATGATTGATGGCTAAATAAACTTCTATTTTTCAAAGGAGGACGTTCATCCTTTATTATAAAATATTGCCAGGCAGATGATGATTTTTTTTTTAAATATTGATGTACCGATGTCGTAAGTATATTAACATTTTAATTAGTAGTTACTGAGTTATAAAACTATTTACCATAAAGACAATTATAATCTTTTTTTCATTATTTTACACATTTTTAACTAGATGTAATATTTAGTATTTTGGACATTTTGAAAATTATAAAGCATTAATTCATATTCATATTAATTAGCATACATTTTAAACCATCGCCGTATCCATTTATTTTAAAATAAAAACCTTGGATTATTATTTCCCTATATTTTAGTAAAGTTTTACAATCCAGATAGATTTAAACATTATCAGTCATTTTTTTTATTGCTACACACAACATTTAGGTAGGGTAAAAAAAAGTTAGTTCTCGCACAAAAACTAATTTGTGCCACTACAGAACACTTAGTATATAAGTGACATAAAATAATATGTAATTATTTGAAAATAGATCTTTCTGGATGCTTAAAAATTTCAAAATTAGATTTCATTATTGATGTAAGAAAATAATATGTGAGCGAACAAATCCAGTTAATAGCTCTTAAAATATTATATAGTAAAAGCTAAAGAGGTAAGGAGCGTTTTTTGTTTTTGTTCATTCCGGTTGTTAAAATTGGCTATGAGTTCTAAAACGAACCGACCGACTGTATAATAACGATAAAGGTTTTCGCGCATAATAGTATAATATATGTTTTAGAACATTTATAATCGCTTCGCGCAACAACCCGGGAATTGGCGGCGGCGAAGGAAACTGTACGTATACGTCTGCAGATTTAATGCGATTCGATTACACGCGCTGTGCGCCGTCGTTTCGACGTTTTTATCGCACAAACATCAAATCCTGGCCCTCTTATTTTCGACCGCTTTTGTATAGTACGTTAGCGCTGTAATAATAGAGTAGGTATACAATACTGCCGCTATAGTAACGCGCAAACGAAAACAATATTAAATTTATAACGAAAACAGATCTTAAACTATGTGTACCCCGCTACTGTAGTAACACAATATTAGACGATACACGTGAAATAATAATAATAATGTGTTACAGATGACTTTTATGTTTAGTGCCCGAGCGCTGTGCACATTGCCATATACAATTATGACGAAAGCTTGTCACGTTTTATACGCAGTGTACCTACAAACAATTTTTAAATATTGTTTGATTATAATCATTKTTAATCTCTTTCAGGCAGTTAAAAAGGTGAGAAATGGGCCAATGGCTTGATTGCAATGCCAGTATTAAATATTTATATAATTTCCATTGTTTGCGTTTACAACTGTTTAAACGAAACTGGCAGGTTAGGTTGTATTTAAATATGTTTAAAAATGTCTGATTATTTTTTGGAACGATTTATTATGAATGGTTTTTTGTAGGTATTTACCAAGCATAAAGAAATTATGAAAACATAAAATTAAAAACGTCAATCSCTATAGTCGAAACTAAATTTGTATTTTATTTGAAAATACCGTTTTCCAAGTAAAGTATAAAAATTAATGAAATTTAAATATGTTGATTGTTGATAGGAAATATATTTTCTTAAGAGAATATTATCTGAGTCAGAACTTTCAGCTAAAAGTATGATAAATTAAATTCACCATATTTAACAAATATCGCTGTCGAATCCACATAAACAACTTAAAGTTTGTTGAAGCTTCTATACTCACTCATGTTATTTGTTCAAACCGAAGTTTTCAGCACATYCCGTGTTCGCCGCTATCTACCGAAAAATACGAAGAAATAATAATTTGAGCTATACCGTACTAACGAAATTGTAAACAAAATGTGTCGTCTCGTATAAATCGAGTGTAGGCACCTGCAAGTGTGTACCGAAATATATTGTTTACTTTCGTCTCATATAACATTTTTGAAATAATACTATGATAAAACCACTTGAGTATTAAGAACAGTAAGTTCATCTTAATGCTAAATAATTTTATATTGAAYATTTTCTATGTAAATAATAATAATAATAAAACATTATAATAATCATAAGCTGACGTATCATTAATTGTACACGCGATGTGTGCACAATCGTAATGCTTAAAGAAAAACGCCAAATTCTATGTATATTGTATACAGTCATATTAATATACATTTTGTATTTTACCTCCAACGAGCTGCACCACAATATTTATCATTGTAATTATGCGTATTTAAATTAACGCCATAAATTGTTACAAAGGCTGCAGTGCCGTATACAAAGCGATTTACCAAGCATGCTCATTTGTCCCAAATTCTGATCTTTGTACATTATTTTAAGAGGTTTAGATTTTTTTTTTATTATTATTATTTTAAAGCTTTAACAACTAAGGTTATTAGCTTACATAATTAAATATTACTTCAACATTAAGGTAAAATTTACAATACATTTTACAATATTAGGTACAATATAAATATTTTTGATATGTGCAATGTAGAAAAGGAAAAAAAAATATCAAAGAAAAAATATCTAATTATTTAAAGTTATACAGTTTGGTTATTTTTAGAAAGGTTAAAATATTGWTAGAATTTTCATAATCTGGTCCAAGTGCTTCATAAAGGTATTCTGGAATGTTTAAGAAGGTTCTGGTATCAGCAAAATTGCGGCAGTGTAGTAAGTGTATAATGGTTAAAGCTTCACTGCAGGTTAAACATTGGACGGGATCTTCGAGTTTAGATTTCTTGTACGCCATTATAAAAGAGTGTCCTGCTGTGCTAATACAGACCTGTTTAAAAAAATATGAGAACCTTAATTTTTTGTTGTACGTTATGAATCAGATGGTGCTATTTTTATACGTAAAAATACTGATGCTTAAAAATACATTATTTTTTAAGGAGYAGATTGTGTCTGAATTATTAAACTTGATATAGGTTAGAGCTAACATAATTAGTATGTAGATCATATTATACCTCTTGGCTCTTAATTCATAAAATTGCGAGGTTGTTTTTATAAAAGTTAGTTTAGAACAAATATTTAATTTATTATTTATTTTAATTAAAACCACTATGAAAGATTGTTATAGCTAGAATGTTGATTATAGATTAATAAAAAAMCTAAGATTTTGGGTACCTAACCTTAATTAGATGTAACAATATTTAAAAAAAATAAAAAATGCATTATTATCATTTACCATTATTATTATTTAATTTGATGGTTCACATAAAAAAAGGAGTTTGAATCACCACGATGAGTTACTCCTAAAATATCTGCACACCTGAAAACATGATTTTTAACTTTTGAAATGTTCTAGAAATACAAAAAAAAATCGAATTAGAACCTAAAATAATGAAAAGGCAATGGTGACCAATGACCATACTTAATAATTATTAGGTAAATTATCCTGTATGGCTGTATATTATATATTATAATGAGCTGTTAACAAGAGAGACGATTATAATTTTCATGATATAATATACACGATATATTATTAAACAAGCCTGTAATTGTAAGACGTTAATTAACGATTTTTCACCAAATAATATTAATATATATTGGCATGGTATGGCGCGGTGTCTTAGCTTCAGTCATTGCAGATGTGTGCTGAGTGTCAGCATCGACCACTAGTTCCCGAATGGGCGACTCCTCGGGTTGGCTTTTAGTTCCTTTAAATCCTTGCCACACAATATATTACAATATTACATGTTGTTCCAAGCCGACTGTATCAGAATCAACTGTACCAACCGTTACTGCTACAACATAAAAATAGACTAATGACCTCAGATGTCAAAACCTTAGTAAGTAAAAAAATATTTATATAATACATACCTATTAACATAATAATATGATTCGTAACACGATCAGTAAACCTTTAATTAATATTAACAATATCGGTGTGTATATATATTATATATGTATAAATATGAACACAATAATACATCTTATTGGTGTATATTGTAGATCATAACATTTATATATTGTTAATTATTCGATACAATAATAATAATATAATTACTATTGTATGGAATTATAACGGTTCCTTGCCTTATAAATATATTTAAACAATAAATTATTGTTACACTACATGTGAATGCACGCAGCTTACGGTTCAATTAAATATACATTTTGAT